CAAGGGGTCGCAGGGGTCGGTGACCAGGCGAAAGCGCAGGCTGCAGCGCAAGAGCAGACAGTTCTCCCAGGCTCCGGTCGTCTAATATACATACATATATATATATTTATTTATTTATATATATAATGATAATACATAGTATAAATATCTATAGTATATTATTTCTATTATACTATTTTTTGTTATTCTATATCATGTGTGTTTCTATTATAGTATGTTATATTATGTTATTTTATATTACATTATATTTTTTTAAAACATGATATTTTTATTTATTTAATTATATATAGTATATTTATACATAAGTAATATGTACAATGTACTATAATATGGAATATATATAGTAGAATACAACATAATGTAATATAATACAACATAATGTAATATATCATTTAAGACTATATATATTTTTTCTTTTATGTATATATACATGTACATTATTTATTTGTGTAATTATTTTTTAAGTATATTTATAGCAAGCATGGAAGGGACATTGATGATGAAAGGTTTGAGAATCTGGGAGGTTAAAACAAGCACCACTGGACAGTGGACAGTATGAACACCATATGGCGAGGTGTGGAATTAAGTTATCAACAGGGAGATCGGTGGCTCTCAAACTTTGGGAAGGGCCAATATCAGTGTTTTCCATCTCGCAAGATAGAACATGATATATGGGATTATGGGGTGTTTAGTTTTCAGAAACGCCCATCATTTGCCATACATCATGAATACTATGGACCAGGATCACACAGAGATAACTTGTGTTTGACTGAAGTTATAGTTTGAGCACAGTTCCAGTTGGCCATTCATATCATTATATAAAATGATAGTTAGTTGACTGTGTTCAATATCACATCAATCCAATTACTAGTAGTTATCATTTACAATAATCAACCATCAGCCAAAGTGATTTGATCAATTGTCATCAGACTTTCTGGAAATAAAAACATAGGAGCTGGAATCATATTTGAAATCTAATGTTCCAGCATTTATTATCATATTTGTTCAATCTAATGCTCCATAACTGGCTGGTGATTCCCCACCTGCAAGGTGAGGGTTGTTAGATTTTATCAGAGTTGTTCTCCTCCTCGGCTAGCTGTCCTCCTCGTCCTCCTCCTCTTCCTCCTCCTCCTCGTCCTCCGCCTTCTCCTCCTCTGCCTCCTCCAGTTTGTCCTCGACCATGTCTGCATCAACTTCCACCTCAACTTCCGCCTTGCCAACTCTTCGCCAAGCTCTTTGCCAACTTCCCAGCTCAGTGTGCACCGCTGGACCTCAACCTGGGACCTTCCCAGCTCAGTGTGCACCGCTGGACCTCACCCTGGGACCTTCCCAGCTCAGTGTGCACTGCTGGACCTCAACGGCCAGATAGAATACCAGAAGATATGCCAGATAGAGTGTTAGAAGATATGTCAGATAGAATGCCAGAAGATATGCCAGATAAAATGCCATGAGATATGCCAGATAGAATGCCAGAAGATATGCCAGATAGAATGCCAGAAGGTATGCCAGATAAAGTGCCAGAATGTTTGCCAGATAGAATGCCAGAAGATTTGCCAGATAGAATGTCAGAAGATATGCCAGAAGACATGCCAGATAGAGTGCCAGAAGGTATGCCAGCAGACATGCCAGATAGAGTGCCAGAAGATATGCCGGAACATATTGCAGAAGATATGCCAGGTAGAATGCCAGAAGATATGCCAGATAGAATGCCAGAAGATATGCCAGGTAAAATGCCAGAAGATATGTCAGATACAATGCCAGAAGATTTGCCAGTAACAAAATGTATAAATGTCATGGTGGGGATAACTCGAAGTAAAGTAATTTGGAACGTTTTTTTATTTATAGATATCTAATGTTCTTCAAGAACAATTAGTGATCAATGATCAATGATGTTTACAATCATCATACTAGAAAAAAACAATATAATTATCATCTTATTCTCCAAGAACAATTAGTGATGTTTACGATGTCAACCATCGCACCGTTTTAGCCATTGATCCTGGCTGTGGTGAACCGAAGGTGGCGACTCTGAAGGGCTCAGCGAAGTGTGGTGCTGAGATGATGACGAAAATGGGCTGCGATAGCCAAATCTGGAGAACGACCTAAATGCCACTGAAAATGATAGTTTTTTGGATAACTAACCCTACTTGTAGCCTTTTCTTTATCTCAGATTTATCTTGTTTCAGGTTAAGAAATCATTACTGTATAAGTTTATCAGTTTATATTATGGTGATTGGCATGCTTTAATCAACCAACACCTGGCATTTGCGCATGTTCAAAAATGAAAATTTCACCATGTGCAGAGCGCGATCCCAACTGGACATCGAACTATGGGCGATGTTGGAAAAGTGTTAAGTTATAGCTATAGCTACCTATAGTTATCCATTAGCGGATGGTATTTGACATTGATTTATTTGATGATAGTAGGCAGCGGTAATTTCAAAGCACTGGTGGCAGCTTTTTTGCCAGTTTTGCCCAAGTGGTGTCCGACGAGGATCGTTGTTGTTCCATAGCCATTCTCTTCCTTTGAGTGTTGTAGATGTTCCACAAACATGAGTAGGGTATGGGTTTGCAACATCCCAGTTTGGGTGTAAATACATATGTGATCTTATGCTGGTTGGTGGTTTGGAATATGAATTTTATGACTGTCCATATATTGGGAAGAATCATCCCAACTAACTTTCATATTTTTCAGAGGGGTAGATATACCACCAACCAGTATGAGTTTGTTTTTTTTCAATCGTGGTGTTTGTTGATCGTAATCATCACTGAGGAGATGGAAGCGGAGCATTCGTTCGGGAAGGACTCGTCGGGTGCTGTTGGGAGAGACATCCTCTCATTGACGACCCTCTAAAAAAAAGGCCCTATGAGTTGGGGGATGGAAGATGTTGCAAAACTAGCCTTCCCCAACACAAATGACATATGTTAGTTGGGGGCATGGCCCGCATGTGTTCAATGCTAAAACTGATGAAGTCGACGCATTTGAGGATTGCCTACAATATGGGAATCTTCTTATTTTAGTAGATTCGATTTGCGAAGTGTTGCGTTGCAGAACGGTCCTCCAGCGGTGCTGTTATTTTTTGGGATCATAGTTAAAATGACTCAGGATGTCTTGCATTTGTTTTAACCAAGAAAACCAAACATCAGAGGTGCTGTTTTTTGGGGGGGGCGTTTGCAGTGCAACCTAAGTGACTACCATAATCTGGCCGGTGGTTTCATTTGTGATCCCAACTGACCGAGCTGCTGGACACAGTCACCTTTTTTAGTGGTAAGACTGTGGTAGGACACGGTTCGATGCTTGTGGTGGCTACTCTGAAATAATTACTATAATTCATGTATATATATATTTATACACATTATTAATTTGATTATATTATTATTGTGTATTGTTTGTTTTATATATATATATACTTCTACATGATATAGTATTACATTATGCTATTTTTAAAATATTATATTATGGTTTACTATGTTACATTTTGTTATATTATAATATATAATATTATATTATATGTTATTTCCATATGGTATTATATTAGACTTTATTATGTTATATTATTTTATGTTATATGATATTGTATGTTCATTTTATATCAAATTATTTTTTGAAAATATGTTATTATATGTCATTTTATTGTAATCTACCATATTTTAATTTTGATGTATATACATATTATATGATATTAAAGTATATTATAGGAAAATCTATTTTAGTATAGATCATTTTATTTTATTATAGTACAATATGTTCTATGGTATTATATTTTATTTTACTATAGTGTAGTATATTATATTATAGTATAGTAGTTAAATATATATATACACATATTAAAGTACATTATATTAATTTGTAACAAATCAAATTTCATTTTAATATACTTTATTAAATTGTATTATATCAAATTTAATTATATTTAAATTATATTATATTACATTTTTATTATATTATATTCTCTTTTATTTTATTATGTTATATTTTAACATGTTATATTATATTTTATTTAATTATATTACATTCTATTTGTATTTTATTATATTATGCTATATTATATTATATTATTTTTTTCATTTTATATTATGTTACATTTTATTATATTATATTATATTATATTTGATTTTATTTGTTTATATTAAATAAATAAATAAATAAATATATATATATATAAAAATTACTTATTATATAGATTCATGACATCATGTTATAACAGTACATGTATGTATATATATAGATTCTATATGTAATATTGGTAAACCAATAATATGCCATCCCCCAAATCATGAAAACAATGAGTTCTATGAACCATCAGCAAATGGTAGCTTTATTAAGATTCCTGGAGGACTTGGACACGTATAACTAAGTGGAGTTGACCCTGACCTTCGAAAGAGCCGAACTGTTGGCATTTGCACTCAGGCAGTGAAGTGGAAAGCATGTAGGACAAAGTTTGGCAATAAAGAACTCCATTGTTAGGTGTAAGCAAATGTGATCCACTCAGCCGAATGGTTTGCTTTGATATATACATATATGTGTACCGCGTATATATGTATGTAATGTGAACCTTTCAGCCGAATGTGTTCTTCAAACATGGTGAAACAGACGTTGGGCTCGAACTTGATTTTCGGTTTGTTCGTCCAACAATATCTCTTCCAAACAGTGATCAAGAAAGATTTCCTTGCCACATGTCGTCTGTCGATTTCTGGTCAAATGTCACACAACTTCCAATTTTCCTACTCTTCTTTCTGCTGTTGCTCCCACATTGGATGATGTTCCAGCTCTCTTTGTCGATAATGAGAGTGCTGACCTTTCTTTGGATCGGTTCACAAAGCAACAACTCAGCAACACAAATGATCATTAATTAATCATCATAGATGATTTATGAGTACTTAAATGATCATAAATGCCTAGTTGAGTCACTTAGAAATGCACAGAAAAACCCATGTTTTTTCAATCCTTAGCCATGCATCCGCATGGCACATAACCAGAGTATCCGCATGGCGCTGACATGAGCTGGACAGTGTGCCGACTTCGGGTGCTGGGACGCCTGCCGCGTCCAAGACACGACAGGTCCGACAGGTTCATAGATCTGGCAGTCACAGGTGTGGGCTGTGTCCAATGGATACATATGATATCGAAATACTATATCTGGTTGGTGGTTTCAAACATGAATTTTATTTTCCATAATATATGGGATAATCCTTCCCATTGACGAAAACATATTTTTTCAAGATGGTAAAACCACCGACCAGATATGATCTGATTACGCATCGCAGCATCATGAATGAGTATGGGTTGATGTCATTTGATGTCAAATATATAATGAGATCCTGATAGCCATGGTATGCATGTTCAATTTTGTTTAGGAGGAGTGCCCCAGTTCTGGATAGGCCTGAGACATAGTTTAAGTATGTTTAAGTGCCCAATAATTGCCAATATGGATTGCTGATTGCTTCAGGGTGCATTAAGATCACATCATCAACTGTTCAGTGCTGGTTCTGCCCGGTGGGCATCAGACCACACTGTTTGTGGATCAGAATGGCTCACAGCAAAATAGAATTCTGATAATTCTGTGTGCCGTCTTTCCACATTAAAATAATCATGTTGTTTCTATCACAATCTCTGGTTCCAAGTGGGTCCTTAACTTCAAACCATAGCTGGTTGGTGGTTTGGAACCATGGAATTTTATGACTTTCCATATCTTGGGAATGTCATCATCCCAACTGACGAACTCATATTTTTCAAGATTGTTAAAACCACCAACCAGCATAGCTTCAGAAGTGAACCAGGAGCCACTCGCTTCGCAGGCTAACCCTGAGATCTAACCGATGTTTTCGCGACTTCTCTCGCGCGTTTTCGAAGGAGCCCAAGGAGCCCGATCTCAGGTGCCTTGAGTTCACTATGTGTTCAGTGTCATTATGGACATGTAGCATAGATCTGGATAAGTTACTGTATAACGACCTCACTGCGACCGAACCCTGGGAATCATGGTTAATAAGGGGAATCATCCCCTGGTGGCCTTAATTCAGGTTAGTGAAATATTTCAATTTACCCAGATAGATGATACAGAACCACTGAGTACATGGGGATATGAAGAAATATATTTCTATATGGATATATGATGATATACGATATATTCTGTAAGTATATCTGGTTGGTGGTTTGGAACATGAATTTTATGACTTTCCATATCTTGGGAATGTCATCATCCCAACTGACGAACTCATATATTTCAGAGGGGTGGCTCAACCACCAACCAGATATCTTTTCCAGTCTCATTTTCTCATTTTTCCATTGTCCATTATTTTCCAGATATATTCTGTAAGTATATATACAGTACCTTGACATATAACCAAGATTAACCAAAACAATGATCTGCTATGTAGGCTATGTACCATCTAACCTGGGCCGTGTGCAGGTCCGGCACTTCTCTTCCAAGTGAGGTCGGAGCGGCTTCAAAAGGACTTCAAAATCAGCCAAGTTACGAAATGTTTCAGTGACTTTTGAGTGATTTGTGTGGAAACACTATACTGTAATGATTAATCTGGGATAATCTGGGTCTCCAACTTTTCGATGTGGAATCATGGATAATCATCCGAAACTACATGTATCTACATGTATTTTTAGGGTACCCCAGTTTTAAGTGTGAAGACACATGAATTGCAGCAACCGCCATCCGAGTGGAAGATGTGGCATCCGAAAGGAGCCATCCATCGAGTCATAGCAGTCATAGCACATGTAAATACATTGGAGCTGAAGGTGAGATGACACAGACTTACATTTGGGATCATGTGGATACCCTCTGGTAAACTAACATAACTATGGAAAATCACCATTTTGAATGGGTAAATCCAGTATAAATGGTCATGTTCAACAGCTATGTTAAATTACCGGAGGGTACATTTGGCATCATTTGGGTCATAGGTCGAAAGTGTTCCAAGTTCAAGATGGGAGCTGCTGAGTCGCCGACTCAGTGACAGGCACTGACTCCACTGACGGCTGAGATAGTCATGGGCTAATGGCACTATGACTCGGGGAAGCTGAGTTGCAGGATGCAGGCTGTTGCAGGGGCCTGTTGCAGGGATCTGAGATGGGATGACTAAGCCAGGATACAGTACAGACTTGGAATGATTGGATGGATATGTTTTTTTGTTACCAGAGAGTTTCATTGCAAAATCCATGAGTCCTTTATATTGATATATGTTCTCTTGAAAGCCTGAAATCCTTCTGAGATTCTGGCGAGCTATTGCCTTCTCATTCACACATCGGGGTAAAATGCCGAACAGGACATTTGAAGACATCCTAGCTCACCAACTATTTCTGTAAGTGAATTAGGTGAATGTGGTCAAATCATCAAATCAAAAATCGCTCAAGGTCCAAGGTACCCCAGCCTTTTTCTGCCAAATTTACAACGTTTTGCGACTCTTGTTTTCATTGGACTTCTGCTTGCCACGACTGCTATTTCAAGAAACAGTCCACTTTTGATTCATGGGACAGTCATCCAGTTGTAGCAATTCCACCATGACTGGGAGGCATTTCCTGGAGGTTTTGTTTTACCAGACATTTCCTGGGAGGCCTTATTTGCAAATCCCCATGATATCCATTTTTTTTTTATACCATCTGGTTATGACTAACAGTTTGCCATGGTATAGATGGCCCATAGAAATAGATGATTTTCCCAGCTAGAAACTTCCATTTATGGTTGGGATTTTCCATGGCTATGTTAGTCATAACCAGAGGGTATTAAATTTGGTTAAATCCCCCTGGTTGAATATGGCTAGATATATCTGGTCTGCGACTGATTTTAATCGATTTTCGGGCCAACCAAGGATGTCTTACTTTGTGGAGCCGGATGCCCATGGAAATCTTTGCTTCAACGAATGGGTCGCATGGCGGCATGGCATGACGTTGGCGGAGCGTGGTCTCCTCTGGTAACCCAGGATTAATGAACCCTAGTTGATGAAACATGGGACAGGTATGGGAAGGTAAAAAGGTTACCAGTTGTTTTTTCAAAAAAATAGGATTCCAATAGCTGTTTCGGGTTTTTTTCTCCCCCATTTATCAACCGAGTCCAGCAGTATGGAGTTGACATTGAAATCCTGGGGGTGTGACGGACTTCCTGAAAGACTGGGGATAACCCAGACTGGCAGAACCCTGGCACTCAGAAAGTTCGTCAAGTCTTCGAATGTTTTGTTGTTTGCACCATAGGTAGATCAGAACTGACAATGAGTATGAAATGACATGATTTGATATGATATATGATATATGAAATATGAATATATATATATACAGTATATGGCTTGGGGTTTCAAACTTGTTTTTTTTCCATTTCATATATGGGATGTCATCCTTCCCATTGACTTTCATATTTTTCAGAGGGGTAGGTATACCACCAACCAGATATGATACATGATATAACATGATATATGACATGTTTCTCTCTGGTAAACAAACAGTTTGACCCTGAAAATCACCAATTTTTAATGGAAACTAGTCTTCCAACCCCGATGACTGCCAGGGTCTATGTTAATTTACCAGAGGGTATGTTATGTTAATGCAATGTATCGCAGCGTGTCCACCTTTTCCAAGCTCTGATCCGCCCGAGGATCGGCCGCTTGTCTGTCAAGGATGCCTGCAGGAAGTGTCATTAACTAAGGATGAATCAATCCATTAGTGGTTGGTGGTGACTGGAATCATGCAATCTTATGACTTTCCATATATAGGGAATTTCATAATCCCAACTGACGAACTCATATTTTCCAGGGGCAGGTTACCCTCTGGTAAACTAACATAACTATGGAAAATCACAATTTTTTCATGGGTAAATCCACGAACTAAATGGCCATGTTCAAGTTCGCGAACTGTTAGTTTACCAGAGGGTAGTGGATTCTGTAATTTCACATGGCTGTTGAACATAATTGAACATGGCCATTCATGGATGATTTTTATCTATGAAAAGTTGTTGGATGTTCCGTAGTTAGTATACTGAGTTTACCACGAAAAGGGTCATGACCATCTTAAGGGGAATCCTAAGAGAAACATCATGAACCATTCATGAGTCAGTGTGTAATGAATGTTCAGTAGCTTGTGGATGGCTTTTTTATTAGACCGGACTTGCACAGGCTCTTGGTAGTCACCTCTCAGGGAATGAAGCCAAGACTGGTTGGTGGTTTGGAACATGAATTTTATGACTTGGGAATGTCATCATCCCAACCGACGAACTCATATTTTTCAGGTGGATTATGTAATATCACATGGCTGGTGAACATGGCCATTCATGGATGATTTTTTATCTATGAAGCCAAGATATCTTGGATTATGCCCAAGGAAATAGCCACCAGCTGAGGAACCGAGGGATTCATCACCATGGTTCCTTGGCCGAAGACGAAGATGGATGGTTCTCTGGGCAACTCCTCAACCAAGATGGAAGTCACATCGGAGATCTGCGTCTCTTGCTTGTGCAGTTCCCTGGGTCCTGGATACCCTCTGGTAAAGGTACAAACAACGACGGAAAATCACCATGCTATCAATGGGTAAATCCACGAACTAAATGGGCCATTTTCAATAGCGAATTGTTAAATTACCAGAGGGTAAACCCCATATTTTTTTTGGCTTGGGCTCGGCAAGAGGTGAACAAGAATTCTTATTCCATACAGTGAGATGTGAACATTATCTAGGCCGTTCCGGGAGGGGTTGCCATGAGTTTTAGCCCACATATACTTACCTCATGCTGCTGCATTAATCCAAGGTAATCTAAGGTTCTAATTTATAGTGTCAATACCGGATAATAACGGTCCAGGTTTTTGATGGGGCGGATTTACCTTGTGGTAGCCAATGCGGTCACTATTTGGGGAACCCCGCATTTGCATGCATTTGTCATCAACCAGGGTTGATATTATTCAGGCTTGACATAATGCAAGCAAATATAATTTCCCCCAATAATGCACCCTGATTCATGACTAGATGAAATACTAAACCATGTTTCGAGCTGGGTATTTCACATTACTTGGGGGTTCAATTGAGATGAAAAACATTGAAAAAATTGAAAAGCACAACGGTACAACGATGGCAGAACTCACAACCGCCTTTTTTAAGTTGGGAAGGGATAGATATCGGACTCAAATATTAGTCGGGTTTCGTGGGGTTTTTCCCTTCACATCACTACCCTGTCAGAAATCGGATTTACCCCAGCGATTTTCCCCCAGGCATGAGATATGATCCGCCTCAAGAAGTCATGATCACGCAATGCCGCCGGGCAGAGACGCTGGCACGGCTGGAAAAACGAAGAGATGCGAGATTTTTTTTGATGGTTCATCCAGTTCATTTCAATCGGGATGATGATGATGATGATGATGATGACGATGATGATGACGATGATGATGATGATGATGATGATGCTGGTGATGATGATGCTGATGATGATGATGATTCAATGACGATGATGATGCTGATGCTGATGATGATGATAATTCAATGACGATGATGATGCTGATGATGATGATGATGATTCAATGACAGTGATGATGATGATGATGATGATGATCATGCTGATGCTGATGATGATGATGATTCAATGACGATGATGATGATGCTGCTGCTGATGATGATGCTGATGCTGATGATGATGATGATTCAATGACGATGATGATGATGATGATGGTGATGATGATGATGATGCTGATGATGATGATGGTGATGATGATGATGATGCTGCTGCTGATGATGATGATGATGCTGATGCTGATGATGATGATTCAATGACGGTGATGATGATGATGATGATGCTGATGCTGATGATGATGATGATTCAATGACGATGACGATGATGATGATGCTGCTGCTGATGATGATGATGATGCTGATGCTGATGATGATGATGATTCAATGACGATGATGATGATGGTGATGTTGTTTTCCAATTTCAATTATCTAATAATTTACAATATTGATAACATCATTCCAATCGGGCGGATGGTCCATTGACAAGTGAAATCACCAGCGTCTCATGGATTTGGTCTCTCCTCACCGATGGCATTTGTCCATGGCATTTTTTGAGGGTTTTTCTTGGACATATCAGGCTCAAATGGTTTATGTATGTTTATGTTCTTGAAATTTAAGTGGACCCAGTGGACCCAGTGGATCCATTGAAGCCATATATTGCATGATATAGCATGTGTATGATATACTATAATATATACTGTATACGGATATATAGTCATTAAATCCAGCAAAAAACAAACTATACAGTACCCCCACTACATATCACTATATCCCGATCATAGACCATTATAGAATCATAAATAGCAATTCTGTCTTTATTGGTGGATACCCACTACATTCCCATCCTGATTGGATTTATCCCACTATGTCAGATTATATCCCCAATCTATCCCATTATATATACGTATATAGATGTTTATGGATGTTTATGGTATGTATATAATTTGATCATCTAATTATATCATTAAATAATTGTCTTAGTATATATATATATATAACTTTCGAAATATTATATATAATTATCTAATTACTATACACACACACATATATATATATACATAATTACATATAGAATGATTTGATGATCATTATGTAAATATCATATCACGAACATATTGCTTGACCATGTTTATCCCAATTATATCTCAACTATATCCACTATATATCCCCCAAAACAAATCAGGTCGTCCTCCCTTGAGCGACTGGGGCAAAGTGACGAGGGCTCGAAAAGTGCTCGGCAAAGCGCCGCTCGCGGCGCCGGAAGGCGATGGCGGGGAAATCCCACAGAAATTCCATAGACTTCGATAGAAATCCCATAGAATTGCATGATTTAGAGATAGATGGACTTAATATGGCTTAATGGGACTTAATATATCTTAATATGGACTTAATAGATCTATATATTGGTTGGTGGTGACTGAAACCATGGAGTTCTATGACTTTCCATATCTTGGGAATGTCATCATCCCAACTGACGAAGTCATATTTTTCAGAGGGGTAGGTATACCACCAACAAGGTATGATATAGTTGAATTTCAAGATTCGGAGATACTGAGATACTTGTAGCTTGTTGATTTGGACACATGACGATTGAACATTTTTTTATGGCGATTCTTCATCTCTTCATTGAGCCTTTGTTTACTAGGTAATGAAACGATGTTTTTTTCAAAGTACTTAACACCTTAACACCTCTCTAAGAATGACTTTGTTATTTCTTCCCAGGGTAATTTTGCTACCGCTACCTCTTTCGTCGACAATTTCACCTAATGAGTCCTGATTCCACTTGGCCAAAACTGTGTTGCTCCGGTCTTCGGAGAGGTAGCTTTACCCAGTACGCTGTCCTTGGAACGCTGCTGTTTGCTGGCCGCTCGGCTGCCAGTTGCTTCATCATTCCAGGACCTCAGTTTCCAACGGAAATTGGAAATGGTCGAAATGGATTTTGGATATCCCAAAAATAACTGATCTGCAACCAATTTGTGTAGACCATACAATCCAAAAGGTCAGTGTTTTTTTTTTAATGGCAACGGTTATCTCCGTGCTCCATCCTTTGGAGAGACGTCCACGACCTTATAAGGTGCAGTGTTGCTGCGAGAACTGACCTGGCGAAACTCTGTGCGACCACTTTTTGGTCTGGCTGGCATGGAAAACTACAGCGACCAGCTGGAGCAGATGGTGAAGGACGTGGCAGTGATAGCCACTTTAATAGCCACTTTAAGTGACATATAATGACATATATGTATATATATATACATACATAATATATATATATATACATACATATATTATATATATATGTATATGTAAACATATATTATAGATATATATATATATATATATGTATATAATTATATATGTATAAATATATATACATATATATATATATATATATATATAGACCTGGGATATAAATGGGGATATAGTTGGTTTCATTATGTTCATGTTCTTTCAAACATGGCCGCGAACTAGCCTAGCCCCATTGGCACACATTGCCTTTTCATGTTTTTTTTCACTTGAAACAGTTGACATATGTTGAAATCCCTCAAAATGGTTTATGCCAAATTCCAATTCCAAATTGTTTTTGATGGCAAAACAAACGATAGTGAAATCAAATTATATTGTATAAATTTGTATAATATATTGTCACTCCCTTGTCACTCCCTTGGGGCAGGACGTTTGGGCTGCGAAGTACCTTGGACGCAACGTGATTTGTGGCAAACTGGGATCATCCCAACCGCTCTCGAGGCCAAAGGAGCCAAGCGCAGCAGAAAGCGAGTGAAAAAGTTATGCGATACGCTGGCCTCAAAAGGGGTGCGAGATTAGTCAACTGATATCAGTGCCATGTTTTTACCTAAGAACCCAAGATAACCCAACTGCATCCGCAAGTAGGGTAGACTATGGTAGACTCTATGTACGGCTCACAGCGTGCTGCACTGCTACTGACATTCAACACTTCCCCAAGATAGGTGTAGAAAGATGACCTATGGAAACAAACATGCCCCTTTTCAGCAGAACAATCGTTTCAGAACTTCTCGATTCGCAGCGAGAATGTGGTCAATGATCAACTCAATGAAACGTTTAGAGGTTTGGAGCAAACAACAAGATTGAGCCAGCTATTGAAGCACTTGACCAGTTCATACATGTTTGTTTCACAAGAATAACATGTTGTTTTCTGCAGAAACACAATTGAACCCTGGGGTTCGTGGCGGCGTGGCTTCGAGGTTCTTGGTGCCTCGATGTTGGCGAAAATCTTGACCCATCAAATCCTCGGCCTTTTGTCGATCTCAGTAGTAAACATGAAAGTAACCCCCAAAAGGATGCACCGAATTCAACTGTTGGGGGTTTAGTTAGTGTTTTATTGATCTAAAAACTAAAACAGTATTGATTTCACCCCACAGTAATGAAAAATCACTGCCAGGAGAAGCCCAACAAGGTGAGGGATGAAACCGGATGGATGGAGACATGGATCAGAAAACATCATTTTTGCATGCTTAACCCCAGGAGAAACGTTTTTTTGGTTCCATCATGTTCACCATATTTTCACATGTTCTCATGCTTCTGAGAGGCAGGTACATGCAGGTAACTAGCCTCACCATGTGGTTGTGTTCCAGATTTTTCATGGTGGAATATCATCACCGTGTTTGGCTGATGTCCATGCAAGCAGAATGGTCGACTTGATCAGCCAGCTAAGATACCCGGCATCAGAATCAACACCGAATTACTTGGACCATCTTGGGCCCCCCCAAGTACCCATTGGTAATTAGTTAATGTCCCAAAATAACAGCTGGTTGGTGGTTTGGAATATTTTTTTATATGTTTTTCCATTTATTGATATATTGGGAATGTCATCATCCCAACTGACTACAGTAATATGTTTCAGAGGGGTAGGTATACCCCCAATTAGACAGGTATTGTATCTTAGCCAATTTTTCGAGGTACTCGGAGGGTCTAGGTAGTACTATCAATCGCCACTGCTGCAGGTCGGTGGGAATCGCTCTGGCGCTGTCCATGGAAGGTGCCGTTGCCGCGGGTGACTTAAAGATTGCGTGGTGCTGATTTATTCCCTTGTTGTTTGAGTTGTTTGATGCTGATTTGTGTAGTTGTTTTGTGAAAAATCAGTGTTTTCCTTATATTGATACTAATTATGGATCACGGAAAATTATCCACCAACCGACCAGTGTAATCTTTCCATCTGGAATGGAAAGAGCACATCTCAAATATTTTCCAATTAGAGCCGAAGTAAGGTAAGGAGCCCCTACCCGTGATCGTTTATAGCTTCTGCCAGCGTAGAAGGTCAGGGCACATGTTCTATCCACCGGCCCAAAATGGGATAGAACAGTAAGCATGACATATAAATTGAGTGAGCAATTTTGTGTCGGAAAATCCCCGGGGTTGGAACCCCCCCATCTTTTCTTGCTTGGAGTATAAGTTCTGGAATATGACAGAAACTCTGTTAAAGTGCTGTGTTTTCAGGTGGATCCTGAAGTTTGCATGGTTGTAAGATGCGATAAAATCTATCAATATCAATGTCTTGACCATTCAAAAGAGCACTTTTTATGGGTTTTTAAGTGAGAATGGGGATACAGGGTACGATGGGATAGCTCAAGCTGTTTGGATGGTGGTCCATGAGCTGCTGCATGAAACAATCATTGTACTCATAAATGTTGGGTTGTTTGTAATCAGCGTGATGAGCCACCCAAATGATCCTAAATGCGGTTAAATTTACATGGAGCATATGGGAAACAAATACCTCAATAAAACCAGGCTACTTGTTAAATCTGATAAAGTCCCCCGTTGTAAATCTCTTAAATCCATTGAAATGGGTTCTCATTAAACACTCGCAACATAGGCAAACCATCCATTGAGCCCCCGTAAATCGTGTTATGTTGCTTTCGCCACTAAAACAGTTGGTCCTTGTTTGCTGAGGTATGTTATATCCCAGTGGTTAATCTCTTAAATCTATTTGAATCCTGGTTAAATGGCAAATAATGGATAATGACCAATTATTACAATGTGAGGCCCCCCAGTTATAAGTTGGTTTATAAACCCCATTAACTATAGTTATATTTGCCATAAACTTTAGTTATGGGAGTTTTTTGAACCAACTTAGCTAACTATGGGGCACCACCTTGTACTATCATTAATTAATCATGAGCCATTTGCACGGTTTTTTCACCTGTTCTACTGGTTAGTTCCTGCCTTCTGTCCCAAGCCGGCCTTAGGAGCTCCAGAGATGGCAGGGTTTGCTGGCCTCAGTCAGGGATTCCACTGGAGTGAATGACTTATTGGATACCCTAATACCCTCTAGTAAATAAGGGCAAATAATTGTTAGTTATGGCAAATAATGGCAAATAATGGTTAATAATAGCAAATAATGGTTAATAATAGCAAATAATGGCAAATAATTGTGAATAAGGGTAAATAATTGCAAACAATGGTTAATAATGATTAATATTGGTTTATAATATTTTTCAATCAATGGTTGATAATGGATAAACTAACAGTTTGCTATTGAAAAGGGCCCATTTAGTTCGTTGATTTACCAATGAACAATGGCGATTTTCCATAGTTATGTAAACGTTTACCAGAGGGTATTGATGAATGTTGGCAACCCAGTGCCATAAACCTACCCAAATGTGGTTTATAGAAGTTTATACCACCCATAAAACTTTGCGATTTTCGGGGATGATTAATTATTGGGTGATATTTTTGGGTGAATCCCACATTACTTGGATCCGGAGTGATTTACAGAAGTTGAATGAGTGTGTTGGATATTGATTAGTATTGAAGTGTATAAGTTGAATTAGTTGTTTCGTATGAGATGGGATGGGTTAGTATTGATGGATGCAAGTTGAACTAGTTGTCGGATATTGAAGGTTGATTGATATTGATTGATATATCCTACAGCAATATTTATACCTACATTTGTACCTTCTTGTTGGTGTTAATGTTGGCAACCATACCATGCATTGAGCATCTGGGTATGATTTTAGTTATTTTTGTTCTTAGATATGATGTTGTGTTGAAATAGTTTTTTAAAATCCAACAAGCTTGGGGTACAGCCAAAGATCATATAGGCAGAGGGTGATATTTGTAGATATATCTTGTTGGTGGCCTTATAGATAGTTTTCATTTTCCATCCTTGTCTGGAAAATCACAAGATTCTCCGCACAATGATTGCACAATGATCTGATATGAATTTTATGCCTCGAGTCTTGGTGAAATATGATCAATCATAAAAAGTCGGGCGTGTTTACAAGCGTCGTGCTGCAACCCGACCGAAGTGAACATGATCAGGCGGATGGGAATGGTCCGCAGCCCAGACGTCTTCAGCTTTCGCTCCGTGGGAATGGGCATGTTGGGATACGGTCAAAACAACCCTCACCCTCCGTTAATCAAAGATCGCTTGCTGGATCTTGCTGGACAATCCCGCCTTTATAGTATATAGATGATTAAGACCGTAATAAGACCTCCATTTCTTGCTGGATTTCCCAGTGCTGGAATCCTAAAAAACTGCCACTGCTTTTCATCATCAAACCGCGAAGCTGAGGAGGCACAGTCCCAGAGAGGCGCCATGACGCCCACTTTGGAGGGACTGGATGGGTATACCCTCTGGTAAATTAACAGTTTGACCCTGAAAATAGCAAATGTTTAATGGTTTCAAGTCTTCCAACCCCGATGACTGCCAGGGTCTATGTTGATTTACCAGAGGGTAATCCTCTAATCTTCTGATTTTAATGGGAAGATCTACTAACTCACCAGCTAAGATGTCTTCTTGTTGCATGGTATCTAAGACTGGCGAAGCTTGAAACAACCACCAAATTGAAGATCCCAACGTTTCATATTGTTGGGTCGAACCCAACAACCAGATAAACATGTCAATAGCAATGGAACATCCTCAGGTCAGTTTGATTCATATAGTACATCATTTACAGAAACTGGTTGTTCCACTGCTAGATTGGGTTGCCAAAGGGCGCAGTGAAGTAAATCTCCTAGCTCGGATGCAGCTACTGTAAATGTTTATTTATTTCCAGCTAAAATAGCGCAACTTGATCAACTTGTTCATGATAGGCAAAACATCTTCAATGCTGGAAGGAGGTAGGTCCCTTTTTTTCACGCTCAAATGGTCACATTGGGACGGTCCAACAAAAAAAAACATGGTTTTCCACGGGTAGCAAAGCCCGAAAAGATGGTTGTCTTCTTTCCATTGTTTAGTGGGGACTACCCTC